GTGGGTCACGGCGATTTCCCAAGTGGGTCACGGGACTTCCGGACTCTTTCATACTATCGATTCAAGACTCATCGCGAGATGCACCGGGAGCTGAATTCGGGCGGGGACTTCTCCGTCCGAGAATCCGTGGATAAGAGGATGCTTTTATGCTTCTTTCTCGTCCATACGATTAGTGTTGACATGAGTGTGGAGCGCGGACGTTCGAGATTCGAGATGCGCGTTCTACTCTCGCTCAAGATTGATGTTTCGCTTTGTCATGGAATCAGGGAGAAATATCCAAAATGTAGTTCTCTTGCCAGAGATATATTAATCCACTTTCCGTCGTCCTATTTGGTTGAGTGCGGGTTTAGTGCGGTGAATGACTTAGTGGACGCAAAGAGAAATCGACTTGAAATAACCAGAAGAGGAGATCTGAGGATAAAATTGACCAATATCGAACCGGATATAAAGAAACTCTGCGCGGAGCAAGTAGCGCACTTCTCCCATTAAATTAGCTCCTGATCATTCTAATAAAAATTGTGGGTGAGGAGGTTGACGAAGTCTCCTCGCTAGTCAGGAAAATATATTTCACTCCTTAATATTCGTCGCCATTAAAGAGTGTTTCCGAACACATGCTCTTTTTCAAAGGTGCTGGGTTTTGTCGTGGGCCATGGGGTCTTTGTCGAGTCCAGATGTGGGTCATTGGGGAAAACTCTTGGGAAACACTGATCTAGCGGTTGAATCAGCGAAGTGCTCCCCGGCGGAAGGGTCTTGATTTTGATTCGTTTTCCATCCAGTTCGAACAAGCTGGAATCCTTCTGACCACCCCAGGAATCGAGATAAAGGACACAGTCGTCCGTGTGCGTACGGTCCAGGATTTCCTTAAAAATCGTTTGGCACCATGTTCTCATCAAGCCTTTATCTAATTTTCCGGACTTGGTGCATGTGACGAACAAATTCGGGTATCTCGTTACCTCCGTCGCCACGATCGGGCCGAATCCGCCTCCTGGCTCTTGAAGGTTCACGAACAATCGACCGACAAGACGGCCGTCCATGTTCAATGTCGGCTGTATGGTGTAGCTGTGAGTCAGAGCATTCATCGCTTGGATAGCGACGAGAGTTTTTTTCTCACCGGTGTGGGACTGAGTCCGATTCGAATACACCAAGTAATTGAAACCCGACTGATCCGTATTGAAGATTTGTGGCGGGTCGTAGTTGGGACGAACTGTGTCAACGAAGTCCAAGATGAGCTCAGCCGCGGCGTTCTCGATCTCTTCCTGATCACGTTCGCGTTTATGGGTCGTGAATTTGGTAACTTTCCTCGAAGTCATGCGGTAGCATCTCTTGAAGTTCTGGATCCAATTATGTGAAGCAGAAAACCGCGTCAACTCAAGTTCACGCGCTTTTTGTAGAGCCCACTTCCTGAGGTCGTCATCGTGGACTGACAGCAAGTTGACCCGCGCA